TGCCAGGGGGCTGCATGTCAGGCACGTTATACACAGATTTCAGAGTTTCTATGAGTGTGATTTTTCAGACGAGACAGACAGGCTGAAAATGTTCAGGACGGTCCAAGTCCAGCCCTGGCTGCATTTGGAGGGAACCCAGGGGCCTTGCTCAGAAGCGGAGGTGCGATTTTATACCTCCAGTCACTGCTCTGGTCACCACTCCCGTGGCCCTTCGTGCTGGGTGTCGCCAGGTCTGTAACCCTGGGTCTGGGCTGCTCTGCCTGCTGGCTGGTGCACCCACACGCAAACGTCACGTAACACACGGAGCTCGGGCAAGCCTCCCTGCTCAAGTGATGATGAGTTGTCTCCTTGGACGCCGAGAAGGCCTGAGACAAAAGCCCGTGTGTCCCGATGGACCCTTCCAGATGCACTCTGGACTCGGTTTAGGGCACTTTCCTTGTGCTTCCCTGGCTGGTCTAGTTCAGGTCCCTCTGCAGCGTGGAGGACCCTGTTCCCAAGGGGTTTGTTCTGCCTGATCCTGAAGTCCATCATGAAACGGCCACAGTGGGATGCTGCCTTTAATGCAGACCTATTTATAGACAGACAGAAACTGAATTTGCGAATGATAACAGTTATATTTGGAATTGGTTAAAGGTGACAAGAAAGATATTTCTCTAATGATGTTAACAATTTATGAGCAATTTCTCAAAATATCTGTAGAGTCTTTATACACCAAAATTCATTTCATACATCAGAGTGAAATGTGAAAAAATAATAATAGAAAACCACTAAATGAACGAAAATCCAACACCAGAAAAACAAGGATAGAATGAAACTGATTGTTTCCCAAACCAGTGAAAAGATCAAATTCAAAGCTTCCAGGAAGTGGAAAAAAAATCACAACGGATAAACTAGAATAGATGCCATAGAAACAAGCACTGGAACATCTGAAGTCGAAAAAACTTAAGTCTTTTCCTTCCAGTGCTGGGAAAAATGCAGCTCTCTCGTCTCGTGTTTCTCCTTTAGCCTTACGTAGACACCACACTCCCACAGAGCACTTCACTCCTGACACTTCTGGTCACCAGACATGTGTAGGATTTCCCCGTAACAGGCAATTCTCTGCAACACCGGGTGGGTGTCCTACAGTTTCACTCAATTCTGACACTGTCTCCCCAGAGCAAGCATCAGATCTCGCAGGTTCAGGACTCAGTCCCATAGGAAGATGAACAGCCAGATAAAGAGATACAGAGGGTGAGGTCTGGGAGGGTCCCAAGCACAGGAGACTCTGTCTCGGTGGGGTCGGGGTCCCCCTCCCAGTGCAGATGTGCTCACCAACCCGGAAGCTCTCCAAACCACGTACAGTTGGGGTTCTGTGGAGGCTTCCTCACGTGGGTGTGATCAATTACTAACTCCGCTTACAGCCCCTCTCCCCACTCTGGAGCGTGAGGGTGGAGCCGAGAATGCCAAGCTTCTCATCAAGGCTTGGTCTTCCTGGTGACCATCCCCCACCCAGGAGCGCCATGAGCACAAGTGATGCTTCTCATGCTCTGATCCCTTAGGGAATTGCAAGCGTTTTAGGAGCTTTGTGCCTGGACCAGGGCAGAGACCACTGTCTTCTGTTATCTCACAGCATCAGAATATAATCCACATTTTAGAGGGAAATGAGAGACCAGGACAAACCTTGCCTGTGCCAGCAGAACGCAGAGCCAAGAGCCAGGACGCTGGTGAGACCGAGCATCCGAACAACCTCACCTGGCGCTGTGTCCACCCTCAGTGCCCGCCCCGGGCCACGTGGCGCTTATAGCATTAGTGTGAGGTTTAAATGCGCCACTCCGGCATGTGGTGGCTGCCAATAAATGTATTACTGAAGGAAAGCCACGCGCACTAAAGGCTACACATTTAAAGTGTACACAGACCCACAGCAGCACACACACACAACAGGAAGACTCTGAAAGAAAAGCGAGCCAAGGACGAAAAGGTGCATCACTGGAGAGGAGAACCGGTGTACGAGCCCGGGGGTCATCGAGGGCCTGGCAGAGGGAACCAGTCGGTCTTCTCATTTGCAGCAAGTAGTACTCCCGAGTACCGATAGACAAGGGTCAGGTGGTACTCCCAAACACTATCAGAGATAGGGACATGGGTCAGGTGGTACTCCCGAGTACTGATAGACAAGGGTCAGGTGGTACTCCCAAACACTATCAGAGATAGAGACATGGGTCAGGTGGTACTCCCGAGTACTGATAGACAAGGGTCAGGTGGTACTCCCAAATACTATTAGAGATAGGGACATGGGTCAGGTGGTACTCCCGAGTACTGATAGACAAGGGTCAGGTGGTACTCCCAAACACTATCAGAGATAGAGACATGGGTCAGGTGGTACTCCCGAGTACTGATAGACAAGGGTCAGATGGTACTCCCAAATACTATTAGAGATAGGGACATGGGTCAGGTGGTACACCTGAGTCCTACTAGATAGAAACACAGGGTGAAGGTAGTACTCCTGAGTATTGATAGAGACAAGGGTCAGGTGGTACTCCCAAATACTATTATAGATAGAGACATGGGTCAGATGGTACTCCTGAGTACTGATAGAGACACAGGGTCAGGTGGTACCACTGAGTACCGATAGACAAGGGTCAGGTGGTACTCCCAAACACTATCAGAGATAGAGACATGGGTCAGGTGGTACTCCCGAGTACTGATAGACAAGGGTCAGGTGGTACTCCCAAACACTATCAGAGATAGAGACATGGGTCAGGTGGTACTCCCGAGTACTGATAGACAAGGGTCAGGTGGTACTCCCAAACACTATCAGAGATAGGGACATGGGTCAGGTGGTACTCCCGAGTACTGATAGACAAGGGTCAGGTGGTACTCCCAAACACTATCAGAGATAGAGACATGGGTCAGGTGGTACTCCCGAGTACCGATAGACAAGGGTCAGGTGGTACTCCCAAACACTATCAGAGATAGAGACATGGGTCAGGTGGTACTCCCGAGTACTGGTAGACAAGGGTCAGGTGGTACTCCCAAATACTATTAGAGATAGGGACATGGGTCAGGTGGTACACCTGAGTCCTACTAGATAGAAACACAGGGTGAAGGTAGTACTCCTGAGTATTGATAGAGACAAGGGTCAGGTGGTACTCCCAAATACTATTATAGATAGAGACATGGGTCAGATGGTACTCCTGAGTACTGATAGAGACACAGGGTCAGGTGGTACCACTGAGTACCAATAGACAAGGGTCAGGTGGTACTCCCAGATACTACTAGGTAGAGACGCAGGATCGGGTGATGCTCCTGATTACTGATAGAGACACAGGGTCAGGTGGTACTCCTGAGTACTGACAGAGACACAGGGTCTGGTGGTACTCCCAAGCACTAATAGAGACACAGGGTACCTGCTCCTGGCCTATGGCCAATGGGGTTGCACTTGGTGGTCATGTATAGAGGCATTTTGGAAAACAACTTAGAAGGTGCTTCAGGGGCTGTAATATTGTTTTGTTGGATGTAGGCATTTTGCTCATCTCTTCAGAGGACATAATCCTAAGCGTGGGGGATGATATTTACTTATAGATGTTGACACGACATGGTTTCTAAAAAGAACAACAAAAGGAAATGTCTAAAAATGTCTCCCAGTTGGGAAAGGGTTTTGTAGACTCTGCCTCACTCACCTCGTGAAGCATTTTCCCGCCATTACAAGTGCTGTTTGAATTCTGTGTGACAACAACGAAAACACTCACCGCTATCTCTGATGGAAGGATGGGTCCGAAGTGCCCTGGAGTCTGATTGCAGCTCTGAGGAAAACAGATGAGGTGCTGGCAGACCTTGAGTCAGCGTGGTGGGCTTGGACTTCATTTGTGTGTGTCTGTTTCTCAAATTGGCCAGTTTTCTCTAACGGGGCTGTGAACAACCGCTACGACCACCTGAAAAAAACCACAGAGCCCAAGATTTCAGCTTTAGTCCGACTTGGTGAAATGCGCTTTGTCTCAGTAGGTGGCTGTAGGCTGGAAAGAGCAGGAACATCCCCTGACAGGGCTGGAAAGGACCCCAGCTGCCCTGCCCCTGCCCTCTGCCCAGGTCCCGGGAGGCACACCTCATCCCTGTCACATGGGTCGCAGGCACGATGCTTCAGTTTACACAGAACCTTTTCTCTGAGGCTCTGTTCCTTCTTGCTACAGCGAGAAAGAAACCACCCTGCTGCTCTGCCTAATTCAGGACCTCCTTTTATGTAAGAATATTAGAACCTCCGTCAGCAGTGGGTTTGTGTTAGGTTACAACAGGATTTTGTGCTGATTACCGCTGCATTTTAAATAGGATGCAATTACGTAAAATACTCCTGGGAGGAAGATCTCTTCCTTCAAGCCCTCCTGTCCGTCTCTTTTCCTTGAGATGCTCTCTGGCGTCGGCAGCGTCCTGAATGGGAATCCCACCCTCTCCATCCCTTTCCTGCCTTTTCTGGCACGTGGTTCAGGGTCCCCTGGGGCAGAGCCTTGAATGACCCACCTCTGCTTTCTCCCGCGCCAGGTGCTGTGGCCAGCACAGAAGTGAAGATGAAGCTACAGGAGTTTGTCCTCAATAAAAAGAAGGCGCTGGCCCACCGGAACCTGAACCACTGCATGTCCAGTGACCCTCGCTACTGGTATGGGTAAGTGGAGGGGCCGGGTCTCCCCTGCGCCCGGGTGCACGGGGTCTGGGCGAAGACCGGAGTGGTGCTCAGTTCTTCACCCTGGAGGGTGTGGAATTAGAAACTCCGTGAGCCAGCAGCACATGTGGTCAGACCAGAGTGGTCTGGTGGATACACGTGGCAGTCGTCCAGGTGCGGAGGGGGCCTATCTTTAAACAAACCTTAAAGAGACGTTCGTGGGGCTAGTGCCTAACCATTATTCTTGGCTTCTCATGCAATTTTTTGGCCACAAAAAGAACCTCTTAAAAAGGAACTCTGGTCTAAATCGTCCGTATGCACCTCCCGAATTTCTACCCGATGTGTTATTGATTCCCAGGCAAGTCAAAAGCACCTGTGGTCTTTTTATTGTTTTTATACTAAGAACCCTCTCCCAGAGCCTGCATAATGGACAGAGACCACAAAGTGCCTTGTTCGTGCTCAGAACTGAAAGCCAAAGAAGGCTTTAACTTTGTGGCGAGGATGCGCGTGTGGCGGGGTTGCGGGGGGGGGGGTCCTTCCTCTGGGCCTGTGCGCGGCTCAGCAGGGCTGGCAGTTGACACATGCCGAGTTGGAAGCGGAGTGACAAAGTTATGTGGCTGGGGGGGTGGGGGGGGGGGGGTCCTTCCTCTGGGCCTGTGCGCGGCTCAGCAGGGCTGGCAGTTGACACATGCCGAGTTGGAAGCGGAGTGACAAAGTTATGTGGCTTTAAACCATGGTCAAAGGTGCCTCAGATTTTTGCTTTGAATATACTTTTCTACAACTTTTCAAGGGTTTTTTTCTGTTCTAGAAGAAACCTCATAGGGTGGTTTTCATAAATGGAAATGTGGTTAATATCATTAATTCATTGGGGGAATATAGCTCCTCTGGAGCCCCCAGATGGGCAACAGTTTTGCTGAAATGCCGCCAGATCCCACTGGAATGAACCCATTTGTTTCAGTAGATGATGTTGGTTATCGTGGTATAACATGAAAGGCATTTCTGTTCCGAGGCCATCTCTGCTCTGAGTGTCTGCAGCCCCTCATGCCACACAGACACTCAGGCCACACTCACATGAGCAGCCTGTTGCTCATGCCGTTCAGCCAGTGACACGGCTCGCCCAGAGCAGAGACGGCAGCGGTGGTCTCCGAAAAGCCATACACAGCAGCCACGTACCCCGGAGCGATGGAGAGTTCTGGGGCAGGACACCTGGGGCCCCCACGATGTGGTGGCAGCGATCCGTGGTCTCCCCCACTAGTGACAGCCCCCTGGGCGTTGCGGTGGGAAAGCTCCATCTCCCCCTTTGGGGGAGGTTGCCAGGCAGGTGCCCCGCAGCGTAGCGGGTGAGGTAGGGTGGGAGAAGAAGCCGGCCGGGCGGGCGGGTGAGGACGTGGGGACGCCCAGGAGTAGCCGGTAGGGCAGGGGTGAGGAGGTGCTCCTAGATCCTCCATGGGGCAGGGGTTGGGATCCAAGGGTCGGGAAGTGCCAGGAGCTGTTTCAGGAGAGGGCCTATCCTGGGGAGGCGAGACCAGCTCGAGGGCTTCGGGAGCAGCGGTAAGAGCGCTGTGGGCCCAAAGGAGGTTGGGCGGTGAGGGCAGAGGTCGTGGTTGACCACACTGGGGTCTTCGGACAGTGGCCACAGTGACGTGAAGAGATCGGGGCGGCCAGTGCCAGGGCACCCCGTGAGTGGTGGGGTGAGGTGTTCAGGCTAGCAGGAATATAGAGGCCGTGATGATGCGCTTGTACCTGACAGGGAGGACGGAGCCCGCAGGATGGGAAAGTGCTGGGGGCTGCCGGGGAGGGGTGGTCTCCGCAGAGCTGCACGTGCCAAGAGGTTGGAAGGGAGAAAGGGCTTTGGGGAGGAGGGGTCAGCAAGGAGCACCTGGGAGCCGAGAAGGGGCAGGTGGGGGCATGCAGGGCGGCTAGGCCTGGGGGCAGGGTGCTAGAAGGGGCTGACATGCTGCTCCCTGGTGAGCAGGGCGGCTGAGACCTGGCGGAGGCTTGCTTGCCCGGGTCCAGCGTTTGGTGGGGAGCTCCCTCTTCCCCGGGGGACTGGGCCATGCAGGCTGCAGTGGGGAAGGACTCGTCTCAGCAGAGTCAGCGGGGATGGGTTTGTTTCCGTTGGGTTTGGCACCTTTCTCGTTTTGTCACCCAAAACTAAACCAGATCATGGACCACATTCACTTGCTGCATGAAGGCAAAACTTTGCTGGAAAACCAATCCAGCAAAAAACCAATCTTGATAGGGGAAGAACCGCACCTTGACCCTGGCTTCGTGCCACACGTGATAGTCAGCTTAAGTGTCATGGACCTGAACAAAAAAGCTAAGTTGTTAAAACTTCCAGAAGGAAACATAGGAAAAAGTTTTCATGACCTTGGGGAAGAGTTAGGCAAAGAGTTCTTAAAACACCAAAATCTTCAACTATAAACCAAAAAACATAAATGTAATCAAAATGTAAAACTTTCACTCTTTGAAAGGCACCCTTAAGAAAATAAAAAGGCAAGGCACAGGCAGGAAGAAAATATTCGCAATGCATGTATCTGACAGAGCACTTGATCCAAAACATATAAAGAGCTCCTACAACTCAATAACAAAAAAAGAGGCAACCTCCTGAAAAAGTATGGGCAAAAGACGTGACCCGATACTTCACAAAACAAAGATGCAGGTGGTCAGTAAGTACATGAAAAGATGTTGAGTCATCCGGGAAATGCAGTGCGCAGCAACATGCCCCCTCACACCCAGTGGGTTTGAAATTGAACAAACCCAGTGTTGGCCAAAGCGTGGAGGCCCTGGACCCCTACACGTGGCCAGTGGGGATTGACGTGGCACAGCCACCGTGGCAGTTTCCTATGAAGGTAAACATACTCCCACCCCATGACCTGGCCACGCTCCTAGATGTTTCTCCAAGAAAAGTAAAGTCTTCCATCCGGGCAGAGACTTGTGTCCCCATGGTCATAGCAGCTTTATTCATTATCGCCAGAGAACAGAAGCAGCTGAGTGCCCGCCAGCAGGTGAGTGGTGAATCACAGGGGCACCCGCTCCCTAGTCTGCTGCTCAGCGAGGCCCAGGGCTGCCCGCCAACACCTAGAAACGTTAAGCTTGGTCGAAGACGCAGGGTCTGTGCCTTGCAATGCCTTTGCAAGTAGTTCTAGGGTCAGCACAGCTGAGCTGTAGTGACAGGAAGCCAGGCGGCAGGGGCTGGGGGTGGAGATCCCTTGCCAGAGGGCAGTGGACCTTCTGTGAAGGTGGCGCTGCTCTGTATTGTTACTGGCGTGGTGGTTCCACAGTGCACACGTGTGAAAACCCCCAGCTTTAAGCTCATTGTATGAGACTGTGATGGCTGTCCGTGTGGCAGCCACCAGCCACGTGGGCTCCAGGGCGTTGAAGCGAGCTGTTCAGATTGAGACAAGCTGTGAATGTCAGACACACCGGATCTCAGAGCCTCGTGGGAAAAAAGAACGGGGACTGTTTCATTAATACTTTTTAGATTGATTACATGTTGAAATGATAGGATTTGGGATAAATTGGGTTTAGGAGAACACACTGAAGTTGATTTCACTGCTTCCTTTTTGCTCGTGTGCACGTGTCTACGAGAGAATTTTAAATTGCACACGTAGCTGGTGTTACTTCCGTTGGACAGTGCTGGTGTGAGTGATTACAAGTTGTATTTATTTTAAATCACCTGCATAAATCTGAGGTAATAGGAAAGGCCAATGGTTGGTAGAATTGAAATGGCCGAATCTGTGCTTTGCTTTATTCTGTATTACAATCAGAGGAACGTTTAGAAAGAAAACAAGGCATATTTGTTTTTCCATCTTCATCAGGGAGGATTGTCTTTAAGACAAGGTGCCCCTCGCATCAGCCAGGGTCACAGCAGAGACACACCCCGGCTGCTTCCTCCCCTGGCGGGAATGAAGGGTTGAAAACCTGGAAGACGATTCTGGTTGGGGCTGAGTTAGACAGAAAAGCGGCAATTCAGGTTCTGCCCCCGGGGTACAAGGGTGTGTGTGTGTGTATGTGTGTGTGTGTGCACGCGCGCGCGCGTACACGTGCGTGCGTGTGAGTGCGTGCGTGTGTGTAAGTGTGCGTACGTGCAGCCAGGACCAGGACTTGGCGTTGGCTCACACGTCCAGACTCTTGCTTGCTGGGGGCAGGTGTGAGCCCTGGGCTGTGTGATGAGGGACTGGTGCCGCCCCTGGAGGGCAGGTGGCCTGTGTTTTCCTTGGGAGCCCTGAGTGCGGGGCATCTAGTGATGAGTTGGTTTTCCTCGGTTTTGCATGGTTTGGGGAAGCCAGGCTGCTGTGCGTGACATGGCGTCACTCTTGAAGTCTGGATTCATCCGTGCTGGTACCAGCTGGGTCAGTCCGGCTGCCTACTCTGGGCCACACTCTCTTGGACGACGCAGAGCAGGTCTGCTGAGAGCTCTCAGGCCAGCACACAGGCAGATTCATGCCAGCTGCCTCCTGTTCTAGCTCATTTTAAGGCTGGACAAGAAAGTGAGGATTTGAATACTGACAGCAACTCAAGAGATCAAAACAGAAGAGAAAATCTATTAGATCTTAAACAAATAGCTTCTCCTACTTCTGGCTTAATTACAAACAAACTCTACCATTAAGGTATAACTATAAGAGTTATTATTACCTATAATATTTTATTAATAATAATTGTCTATTTTTTTAAATCACGTAATACACACGCAGGCCTTTCCATGTTTCTTATGAAGGAGAAAGTGAACTC